GGTTTGTAGCCTAGGAGCAACACGCTATACCACATAGCCTGGGTGTGTAGTATACTATACCATCCAGGTTTGTGTAAGTACATTTTATGATGTTCACACAGTGATGAAATCTCCTAATGATGGATTTCTCAGAATGCAGCCCCGTTGTTAAGTGATGCATGACTGCATATCATCTCAGTCATTCTTAAGAAGCATGATTACCAACATAGAAGAAAGGAAATAAAGATGTCTTATAGAAGAGGATAAGTAAAAGTTCTGTAATCCTGAATTTCAATTAGAAGTGTCTTGATGCATTTTGTTTTAAATTTTTCCCCCTGGCTCCAAAAAGTCCTAGAAACAATAAGCAACCCAGTAGCAATAAGTACACCTAGTACCTAAATTATAGTAGTTCAAGGCCAATGCTCCTTGGAGAAATGCCTTATTCTGATTCCAGCTCAAGAGCAGGAAACATCTTTTTTCTTTTTTTTTAAGGTATGCTTTTTTTTTTTGGTGAGGAAAATTGGCCCTGAGCTAACATCTGTTGCCAATCTTCCTCTTTTTTCTTTTATTCTCCCCAAAGCCCCAGTACATAATTGTATATCATAGCTGTAAGTCATTCTAGTTCTTCTATGTGGGGTCCACCACAGCATGGCTTGATGAGTGATGTGTAGGTCCACGCCCAGGATCATAACTGGCAAACCCTGAGCTGCCGAAGCAGAGCATGTGAACTTAACCACTAGGCCATAGGGCCAACCCTTTCTTTTCTCTTAAAATGACAAAAACTCAAATTCAGTATGTTTTAGCTTATAAAATATACATCGCTGTGAAAAAGCCTAAACTGAGTGACCAACCCAGTATCCATGAGCATCTCTAGTTCCCAGATTGTAATCTTAAAATACCATTTTCCACTTAAAGAACTCAGGGCTCTTTGGGGATATTGCTGACTCTAGGATTGGGCCAAGAAAAATGCTAGTTTAAAACAAGTGAAATTGCCGATTATTGCCCAACCTAATACAAAATGAGTCTAGAATATCTTTTCATACAGATAGCAAGGAAAGTATATTAGTTCTTTAGGGCTATTGTAAAAAAGTACTAAAAACCTGGGTGACTTAAACCAACAGAAACTTTTGTCTCACAATTCTGAAAGCTAGAAGTCTAAAATCAAGGTGTCAGCAGGGCCATGCTCTGTCTCACACTCTGAGTAGAATCCTTCCTTGCGTCTTCCCAGCGTCTAGTGCTGGCCAGCAATCCTTTGCTTGCAGTTGCATCACTCCAATCTCTGCCTCCATCTTTACATGACGTTTTCGCTATGTCTTTACATTATTTTCCTTTTGTGCATGTCTGCCTCTATGTCCAAATTTCCCCTTTTTATAAGGATACCAGTCGTATTGAATTAAGACTTACTCTAATGACCTCATTTTAACTTGATTGCTTCTGTAAAGACCCTATTTCCAAATAAGGTCACTTTCTGAGGTATAGAAGTTAGGATTTCAACATATCTTTTTTGGAGGACACAATTCAACCCAAAACAGAAAATATCAAAAACCATAGTGTCATGTCAAGAGAATTTAGGGACCAACATGAAGAGGTTCCCACTGGCCAAAGATGAGACACTTTGAATATCAATAAGATAATACTTGCAGCAAGTTGAAATACATCAAATATTAAATCCATTAATTTTAAATGCTGCTAAAAAGCAAAAGATGAAAATTCTAATTGGTCACCATTGGAAGATGCTGGGAAAACAACTCATCATTTTGAAGATTGGCAAATAAAGATAAATTAACATTTATCCAGCCTTTCCCACATGAACTGTACCATCAAGTACCAAATAGTGGATGTAGTGGGTTGAATGGTGGCCCCAAAAAAGATATGCCCATGTCCTAAACCCCAGAAACTGTGAATGTTAACTTATTTGGAAAAAGGGTCTTTGTGGATGTAATTCAATTAAGAATTTTGTGGTGAGATGATCCTGGATTACCCTGGTAGGCCCTAAATGCAATGACAAGTGAAGGGACACACAGAAGTGAACAGACACAAGAGGAAGAGGAAATGTAACCACAGTGGTAGAAATTGGAGCAATGCAGCAACAAGGAAGGCCAGCAGCCACCGGAAGTTGGAAGAGGCAAAGAACAGATTCTCTCCCAAGCCTCTGGAGAGAGTGTGGCCCTGCTGACACCTTGATTTTGGACTCCTGGCCTCCAGAATTGTGAAAGAATAAGATTCTGTTGTTTTTAACCCACCAAGTTTGTGGTTGTTGGATACAGTAGATGAGGAGAAGTATTGCAGTTAATAAGTGAATAAGGAATGATAGACTATCCATGTTGCAACCTCTAACGAATTAAGAGATGGAGGCATTAGCACTGAGGTCTCCCAACTTCACAAAAAGGCAAACAACCAGATATTGTGTACTTCCCAATGAAGAACATGCTGCCACCTATAAAATAATCTTACCCCCATCCCCACCCTCCAAAAATATAAACCCAGAGTGTGATCAAACTTCTGGATCCACCTAACAAGCTACAAAAAATACAGAGGATGCAGAGACATCTTAAGCTACATATCAGTAATACAATCAGCAAAATCCAAACCCTGGGAAGCTGTAGGACAAATGATCCAATTTCTTCAACAAATAAATACAGGGAGAGAGAGAGGAACCTACAGACTAAAAGGCACTTACGGGATGTATGAGTCACAATGTGTGGAACTCATTTGGGTCCTAATTCAAATAAGCTGTAAGAGATGACAATTATTAATAAAGGGAAGATAATTGGAAATTTGGACTCACTGAATACTTGATGGAATTAAAAGAGTTATTGAATTAAATGAAGTTTTCCACTGAAAAAATTAAAAATAGGCCCAATGAAGACTTATTTTATAATCAGTAATGGTTCTTTATCCTCACAGCTTGTCTTCCAGTCGAAAGATAGTTGGTATTCCCAAGATGGTCTGGTATACTGTTATAAGTGTAATTAATATTAAACACTATGTTTAATTACCTGGGTCTCCTCTTTCTCTGATTCTTGGATCTCAGCTACATATCTTATCTTGATTCACAAATTGAACAGCTATGATTTGGGACAGTTAAAAATGGTGAAAATTAAGGTGCTTGCTCAGATGACATTATAAAAATATTCTTCTAGTGGCCAAATTACCTTTGATTTACCTACGAACTTTATCTTCTTACTCATGTACCTTCAACTTGATAGAGGCTTCTGATATGACAGATAATTCTCCAGGACAACTTTCTAATAAAATACATCATAACAGGTGAATTAAATCTGTAGTTAATCTGCAAACTATATCTTAGAGAATTATTACTGACACTGGAACTAGATGGGCCAATTTGAGTGCTTCTCCAGAACCTACCTTCCTCTGGTAGTAGAGATTATAAAAGGGGAGGTCACAGAAAGATTATTATAGATTTCCAACCAGAATGAACTAAGAAGTCTGCTTAAATACCAAGGGCTGGTCTTTCTTTTAACGTGGGTTTCTGTGAGAAACCAAGGGATGCAGTTCAGATACCTTCTTGAGAAGAAGGCACTTGTTCTTCAAAGGATGGTTCTTCAAAGTAATGAGATAGCCAGTAGGCAAAAAGAATGGATGTTTAAACAGGAAAAATGGAGATTAAAAAAAAGATAAGGAATTTGCTGTTTTGTGTTCTCTGCCAAGTTGAGAAGCAATAATAATAATACTGGATTTACTTTAAAAGCTTTAGTCATACTTTTCAGTACCTCCTTTAAAGCTTGTAACAGTCCAATGAGATAAGTAATATTATCCCTTTATTATGTATAGGAAACTGACACTCAGGTTACGCAGTGACTTGGCCAAGGTCGTATTGCTGTTTACTTGTGAAATTTTAGAGGTACAAGTTCAAGGCTCTTACCACTTGTCTTAGAAAGAAGCAGCTATCAATCCTGGAGAATGTGAAGTTTTTTTTCTTTTCTTTTTTTTTTTTTTTTTGAGGAAGATTGGCCCTGAGCTAATATTCGCCATCAATCCTCCTCTTTTTGCTGAGGAAGACTGGCCCTGAGCTAACGTCTGTGTCCATCTTCCTCTATTTTATATGTGGGACACCTGCCACACCATGGCTTGACAAGTGGTGCATAGGACCGTGCCTGGGATCCAAACTGGCAAATCCCGGTCACCGAAGCAGAGAATGCAAACTTAACCACTACGCCACCAGGCCAGCTGGAGAATGTGAAGGTTTTTAATCAAATTATGTTGCTCCTTAAGTTTGTCAAATATATGTTAATTATATAATGTATTAAATTTCATTTGGGAGAAGAAGAGAAACTCTATAGTGTATACAAAATTGAGACTTGAAACTGAGGCTTTGCCCTGATTAAGTATAGTTGCCTTCATTAAAGCATCATCAAAAAGCGTTTATTAAATTATTTAAATAACTGATGTCTCTGCTTCTGCATCAGTTGAGAATTGTCCATTTCTCATTCCAAATAGCACTTACTCAATTATTGAATTTGGTGAGAACAGTCGTTTTCTAGCAACATTCTCTGTAATCAAAACATTTCTGTCTAGCTTTATAATTATATTTTAAATGCTTTCGTAAAACAAGAAAATGAAGGGTGGCCATTTTTAGTGGTAGAACATTGGAAAGGGGAATTCTTTCTATTTTACCTAATGGGCCAGTAGTATCACTCCCATTATGTAGATGGAAAAATAAGTTAACTTGGGCCTGTGCCAATGTCATCACACAATAAATTGGAAGAAGCAGTGTATATTCACAGGCATAGTAGTATAGCAAGTACCCAAGAGTGAGAGCTTTGGAGTCAATAGACCAACATGCTTTTCCTTGCTCTGATCATGGGCAAGTTACCTCATCTGTAAAATGGCAGTTAGTAATATTAACCTGCTCTGGAGAGTTGTGTGAGAATTAAGAGATAATCCATGTCAAGCCCCTCAGCACAGTGATTGGCACAAAGTAGGTCCTCCGTAAACAACAACAATAATAATATTGATGGTGCAGAAAATTAAATGGGTTCTATTTTGTCTTTGTCTAGATCGTGTTGTGCAGTGGAGCGGAGCAACATTAGGAAACAGAACACACTTCTGAACTGAGTTCACTAATTAAGCAAACCCATGTCTATCTTTTGGATGTGTAAGTTTCTTCCATCTGTAAAATTTGAATCTAAAAAGAAAGCAATTCCAAGTTGGAGTTAAAACACAAACTACACTCTAGATTAGTAAATTTTTTACCAGTCTCTTTGAGGTTAAATCATTTGAATAACTGATTTCTCTGTTGCTACGTCAGATGAAAATCATCGGTTTCCTGAAATGACTCAGATTGTTTAAAACTAGACGCTTTATATAAATTTCCTGTCAAGAGATATAATTGCTCATTTGTCACATGTAGAGTGCATTACCATTCCTCAATAAATCTTAAATTAAAATGATAGATGTTCAGCCTTCAGATATATCATAGTGTGTGTGATAAACATCAATACTATTATCTGGCCACAAGATGGCAAATTACACCTGAGCCCAGAGAGAACACAGGACTAGGAAACCACAGTCCTTACAGTGGTGTTTCCTTTCTTCTTCATATATTTTGTAGCATCCTTAGTGATATTTATCACTAACAATGGTTTTATTTTCAAAGCTTCTTAATTTTTATTTGCTTCTTAATTCTAATTTTAGCAACCAACAACACAATCAAGTCCAAACTCCTTTCTAACTCTCCTTTTTCCTAAACTTCCTTCTCTTTTTCCTTCTCTCTTCTCACTGTTTCTCTTTCTTTTTTGCTTTTATTTTTCCTTTTCAATACAATAGTTACAGAATACCAAACATAACCTTTTTGCAATAACCTTAATGTATTTTCATCCTTCCAATATTGGCTTAAAAAATCAAATCAGAATTTCTGTCCTTTTAAAAATGTGCTTGGATCATGATTATCAAATAAAGACCATTTTCAAAATTTCAGTATGTTCTTAGTCTCCTTATTTAGCCCTCTTACCTTTATCCTTAACCAATCATGACATTTCCAAACTGTTTTATTGGGGTAAAAAACGAAAAAACAAGAACAGTTAAATTACCAAAAGCCATCAAATAAAAATAATATAAAATAAAAGATGAAACACCTGTATTTCTGTCTCTCCACTCACATCTCTCAATCACACCTGTGTTTTTCCTATCCTTGCAAGACATTTCTAGATAGACGTATGTAGGTAAATACAAGTACCTTTTGTTTTTTATAAAAATGGAATCATGCCTTAAATTTTATAAACAACTTGCTTGTTTCAAAGACTCAGTATATCACAGACCTCTTTCTAGACTAGTAAATTTCAGGCTGTCTCAGGTGTTTTTAATGGCTACATGGAATTTCATAGTATGGCTATACAGTAATTTATTTAATTATTCCCCTGTAGATGCAGTTAGGCTGTTTCCTTTTTTGCTATTTTAAACATTGCTGCAACAATATCCTTGTGCATGCCCCTTTATATACTTTTGTTATGTTTGTAGAATAGATTCTTAGAAATGGCGTTAATGGGTCTTAGGATTTGTACATGTTAAATACTAATTGATAGTCACAAGTTACCCACTCAATAGGTTGTCCCCCGATCTCTGTGACTTCATAAGGTCCCACCTAGCTGTCCTATAAAGTTGAGACCAACCTCCTTTCCCATTCCTCCAGAAACAGGAGTTCTTGGTCTTTTAAAATTTGTTTCTGTGTCTTTTTTCACACTACACACTTATAATGTCCTTCTCCACTCACCTTTATCTTTTCTTCCATTCTGGAGAAATCCAGCTCTTGAAAGCTTTAATTCCTTCCATCATTTCACCCTACATTATATCTCTTTATTTTTTAATTACTTGGAAAGTAATAAGATTTGACGTAATTACTTGTGTATTTTGTTTAAACATATATTTTAAAGGGAAAATTAAGATAAACATTTTCACAATGTTCTTTTTTCTTTTACTTATTTTTCCTCCATACAAAGAGAAAGACTAAAGCTATCCCTAATTACCAAGGCCTGTATAAATTGTATAAAATTTATTACATTTTGTATAAATTTGGAACATATTCCCCTTTTTAAAATGTATTATAATATTTTTGCATGTCTGATTCCCACTAGACTTTTCCTCCATTCACTTAAAAAATATTTATGGCACATCAGGCCCTATTCTAGGCCATATGGGTACAGCACAGAACAAAACAGACAAAATTCCCTTCACTTATGAAGCTCATGAGGCTGTTGAGACAGACAATAGACAAGATAAATAAGTAACATATTATATAATATGTTAGGCAATTGTAGAAATCCAGGTGAGAATAGTGGAGATAGAAAGATTCATCAGATATTTTGAAAAGAGATCCCAAAAGGCTTGCTTTGGATTGCACATGGGATTTGAGAAAAATGAGCAATCAAAGATGCCTCATAGGTTTCTGTTAAGTAAATGGGAGGATATTGGCGCCCTTTACTAAGGTTGGGGAAAAGTGAAGGAAAGACACATTTGGGTGGGAAAAGTCCTGTTTGGGTTAGGTTTAGAGGTCTGTTGAACACTCAAGTGGAGACACAAAATAAACAGTTGAATACAAGTTTAGATCTCAGCAAGCCGACCTGGAGCTAAAGATTTGGGAATCATTTAGCATATACAGGTATTTATTTACAGCCATGGGAATATGTGAGATCATGTGAGCAGTGTAAGGGGAGAAAGTAGAAGCATTCTGATATTTAGAGAATGGACCAAGGAGAAAGACCAAAAAACAAGACTGGGAAGGAGCAGGAGAATAGGAGTAAGAATAGGGGATGAGTACAGACACCAAGGGAAGAGTATGTTTCAGGAAGAAGAGGGTAGTTAGTGCTGTCAAAGGCTACTGAAAAGCATGTAAGATAAAGATAGAAAAGATCTTGGATTTGTCAAGTTGGAGGACATTGACAAAAGCCATTATAGTGTAGTCATGGAGATGGGAGATAAATTGGAGTGAGCTGAGAAGAAAATGAGTAAGAAAATGGTGAGAGCGAATACAGACAACTTTTTGAGAAGCTTCGTTGTGAAAGTGCAGAAATGGGATTGTATTTGGTGAGGGAAATAGTGTCAAATGATTTTTTCCCGATTATTTTAACATAACATACATAACATAAAATTTACCATCTTAACCTGGGTTTGTTTTGTTTTGTTTTGTTTTGTTTTGGTGAGGTCTATCCTGGAAAAGGTCCCATGTGTACTTGAGAAGAATATTTATTCTGTTGTTGGTAGAGTGTTCTGTATATGTTTTTAGATTTAGTTAGTTTACTGTGTTGTTCAAGTCCTATATTTCTTTACTCATCTTCTGTCTGGTGGTTCTATCCATTGAGAGTGAGGTATTGAAGTCTCCAACTATCATTGTGAAATGTCTATTTCTCCCTTAAATTCAGTCAGTTTTGCTTCAAATATTTTGATGGTTTATTGTTAGATGTGTAAATGTTTATAATCATTATATCTTCTTTCTGTTTTGAACCTTTTATGAATATATAATATCCTTCTTTGTCTCTTATAACCTTTTATGATAAAGCCTATTTTGTCAGATATTAGTATAGCCACTCCACTTTCTATTGGTTACTATTTGCATGGAATTTCTTTTTCCATCCTTTTGCTTTTAACCTATTTATGTTTTAGGATCTAAAGTGAGTCTCCTATAGACAGCGTATAGTTGGATCGTGTTTTTTATCCATTCTGCCAATCTCTGTCTTTTATTGGAGAGTTTAATCTATTTACTTTTAAAGTAATTGCTAATATGGGGGAATTTCTGTCATTTTACTATTTATTTTCTGTATACCTTATAGCATTTTTTGTCCCTCATTTCTTGCATTACTGTTTTCTTTTGTGTTTAGTTGATTTTTTTATAGTGAAATGTTTAAATTCCTTTCTCATTTCCTTTTATGTATATTCTATAGCTATTTTCTTTGTGGTTTAAATTTTACATACTGAAGTTATAACACTCTGATATGAATGTATACTAGCTTAACTTCAGTAACATACAAAACTCTGCTCCTTTACAGCTCTGGCCCCACTGATTTGAGTTGTTAATGTCACAGAATTATGTCTTTATGCACTGGTGTCTGAAAACATAAACTAATAATTCTTTGTAATACATTAGTCATTTAAATTATGTAGAAAACCAACTGTGAAGTTACAAACCAAAGTTACAATAATACTATATTTTAGACTAATGATTGTTCCTTTAAAAATGTATTAATCTCTTAAATCATGTCACAAACCATTGTTACAGTAATACTAGCTTTTACAATTGCCCATGTATTTACCTTTACTGAGATCTTTATTTTTTTATGCAGCTTCAATTACTGTCTTGTGTCCTTTCATTTCAACCTGCAGGACTTCCTTTAGCATTTCTTGCAGGGCAAGTCCAATGGTAACAAACTCCCTCAGCCTTTGTTTAACTGGGACTATCTTAATTTCTCACTCAGGCTTGAAAGAGCTTTCCAGGATATAGGATTCTTGACAGTTTTTGGTTTTCTTTTAGCACTTTGAATATATCATCCCACTTCTTTTTGGTCTTCAAAGTTTCTGATGAGAAATCTGATAATCTTATTGGGGATCCCTTGTATGTGATGAGTTGCTTCTCTCTTGCTGCTTTCAAGATTCTCTCTTTGTCTTTTGACAGTTTGATAACAGTCATGCACTGCATAACGACATTTTGGTTAACTATGGAATGCGTATCTAACAGTGGTCACATAAGATTATAATGGAGCTGAAAAATTCCTATTTCTGAAAAGAGTGACACTTCCTCAAGAGGAGCCTCAGGCAGGTCTTTCAGGAGGTATTCCAGAAGGCATTTTGATCATAGGCGATGACAGCTCCATGTGTGTCACTGCCTCTGAAGACCTTCCAGCGCGACAAGATATGAAGGTGGAAGACAGTGATCTTGATGATCCTGACCCTTTGTAGGCCTAGACTAATGTGTGTGTTTGCGTCTTAGTTTTTAACAAAAAAGTTTAGAAAGTAAAAAAAAAAATTAAATAGGAAAAAGCTTAAAGAATAAGGATATAAAGAAAGAAAATATTTTTGTTCAGTTGTACAATGCATTTGTGTTTTAAGCTACATGTTATGACAAAAGAGTCAAAAAGTTGTTAAAAAATTTAAAAGTTAAAAGAGTTG